GTAGCCCCCAAGCGACAGACGACCATCGGTTGCTGGAATGTGAGGACCATGGCAGAAGCAACACGGGCAGGGCAGGTAGCCAAGGAGATGTTGGACTATGGAATTGAAGTGCTAGGGATAAGTGAGGCCAGATGGAAAGGGATGGGATCAGTAACACTACAGAGTGGTGAGACAGTGGTATACTCAGGAGATGACGAGGTGCACCAGGGAGGAGTAGCCATCATGATGAGTGCGAGAGCAAAGAGAGCCTTGATGGAATGGACGCCGATTAGCAAAAGAATCATCACAGCACGATTCTACTCAAAATACAAAAAGCTGACAGTAATACAAGCATATGCACCAACAAATGATGCGGTGGACGAGGAAAAAGACGAATTTTACAATCAGCTGCAGGACACTGTTTCAAGCTGCAACAGACATGATATGATTGTGGTGATGGGCGATATGAATGCCAAAGTGGTTGAAATGGCAGAGGTCAATGACATAAGCTGCGAGGTACGACGAAGAAGGTGGAACTGGTTGGGACACATACTCAGGAGAGAGGGTGCAAACGACTGCTTCACAGCATTAGGATGGACACCAGAAAGTCGAAGAGCGAGAGGGAGGCCAAAGGCAACTTGGAGAAGGACGGTGGAGAAGGAAAGAAACAAGGCGGGGTGGAAGAGCTGGGAAGTGGCCAAAGCGGTGGCACGGAACAGGGAGTGTTGGTCGGAAAGCGTGACGGCCTTTTGCGCCTACTGGCGCGAAGAGAAATGATGATGATGATGATGATGATGATGACGCGTACGTAGATGGGCCTATCATGACACATTTAACTGGATCGAAGACACGGCTATCTCCATTGACCGTAATGGGTGTTCCGCGAGTCCAGCTCACCGTTGGAAATCTCGGTGTCGCAAAACAGCACGAACGTTAACTTCTGGATATATGGCCAGAATTGTAACTATAAGCCCTTCGTGTCCCATCCAGCGAGAGAAATCCACCAACAGTCGAACCCCAACCAATGGCTTCTCCTCAAACAAAATTCCGCGGAACATGGCACAACGGGACTTACACTTTGGGAATTAGCGGAAGCTGAGACCAGTCGTGGAAAGGTTCGATGATTCTATTGCTTCCAGAAAGAAACTAGCCTGAGCGAAAATCCTCTTAACCAGCGGGCGTTTTGAGAGAAGTGAAAGCCGAATGAATGCACCCCCAGAGGAAGAGATTGCGCAAACAAATGAAGAGAGCGAAACCTACTACCAAGAACAGGATTGCTCAACCTTCGCAATTAACGAAGAGACGAAGTGGCGTTTAAACCCTACCACGCCGAATTGTGCAAGAGAAGTCATTCGTTGCCTCTCACTCCATGTTAATTGGACGCTGGCATTCTATGCGCAACTCAAGACTTTGGCGATCAGATGATCTAGCAAGAGAAACCAAATTCCCGATTATTTTACCGAAGACGGAAATATCCCGTAACACAGTTAATCGTCAAGCGGGATAATCACGAAATGGGTTGCCACGAGATGGGTGAAAGCTACACTCTTAATCACCTTCGTTATAAGTACCACGTGATCCACAGTCAGCAGGAAGTAAAGAAATGCGTGCAAAACTCTTGCGAATGCAATAGGCGCTTCCGGGTTCATCCAGTTACACTGCAGATGGCTCCTCTACAGCAGTTCCGACTTATAGATCGTTCACAAATTTCGTTAAAGACTTCGGTGGATCAAATCTGACGACACAAGGACATAGAGGAGTTCGAACAAAGATAAGCGTATGACTGTTTCCTTGCAAGCGAACGCACCCCTATCATTTGCAGATGATCGCATCCGTTGACACTGCAGGCTACTTAAACGCGTTTAAAAAAATTGACAGAAAGCCGAGGTTGGCCCAAGATGATATTGAGCCGCATCGGGACTAAATTCATCATTGGAGATAAAGAGATTAGAGAGTTGGTAGCCCAGTTAGACCAAGATCAGATTCGGCGTTCATCAGCAAACAAATGAACAGATTAGCACTGGAATCCAGCAACAGCATCTCATTTCGGAGGAGTGTTCAAAGTCATGATAAAGGCTGCAAAACGAGCGATTTCGGATATTTTTAACGACGCAGATGTAACGGAAGAGGAGCTTCAAGCCTGCTTCCTTGGAGTCTATTGATCACTCACGACTGCCAGCGATGATCCAAATAATAAACCTGTCCATAAACGCAGCCATTTTCTAATCTGTCAGATGGGTCGAGACACTACACCCCACAGCGCTCGTCGATAACACCGCATTTAACACATGAGCGTATATTCGACGCCTGTAGCGACGTTGGCTGCAGTAATTTCTTCCACACATTGGCTCTGGTCACAAGTGGGTTTCACGACAAGAGAATCTGAAGAAGACAATCCAGTAATAGTTATCTAAAACGCAACAAGGAGAGAAAAAAGATCTCATCTTGCTGTTGCGTGACATTCAGGGCGTTTTCCATTTACAAAAAATTTCGGAAAATTTCTGTTGGGAATTTCCGTTGGGAAAAGCGCGTTCCATTTGTCACAAGTCCCATTCGTTCACAGGCCCCTCTCTGTCGCTTCTCTGAATCTACCGCGAATATTCAAAATGGAGGCAAATGAGGCCCATCAGATGTTGTTTTTGTGCGAAATATTAGAAGTCTCTATAGAGGAAGAAAGTTTGATTAATTCAGAAGATGATGCAGTAGATATCTTTTCAGCGGCCTCGACGTTCACCTGTGAACGAAGAATTACAAAAGAACTTTTCAGAGNTGACATTCAGGGCGTTTTCCATTTACAAAAAATTTCGGAAAATTTCTGTTGGGAATTTCCGTTGGGAAAAGCGCGTTCCATTTGTCACAAGTCCCATTCGTTCACAGGCCCCTCTCTGTCGCTTCTCTGAATCTACCGCGAATATTCAAAATGGAGGCAAATGAGGCCCATCAGATGTTGTTTTTGTGCGAAATATTAGAAGTCTCTATAGAGGAAGAAAGTTTGATTAATTCAGAAGATGATGCAGTAGATATCTTTTCAGCGGCCTCGACGTTCACCTGTGAACGAAGAATTACAAAAGAACTTTTCAGAGTTGTTCATGCAACATTTTACGCGGGAAACGTGCACCGGCGAAAAAAGCTTCGAACAAGCAAGAATCTCTACCTACCACTTTTATATGCAGCACATTCGTGCTGCAATAAATTTTCTAGATCTGGCGTTAGAACGTGGCAGGCAGAGCACTCGTAGTAGCCCTGAGAGTTTGTTTGCAAAAAGCTTCCAGAAAACTGACCCTGATCAGCCGGCATTTTTGTTGAAACACGAGGGAGCCGAAGGGAGGTCTGGCCGCTTAAAAGACCGCATAAGGCATGGAACTGGTGATAAAGACGAGAAATCTGTAAATGGAACACAAATTTTCCATTGGGAAGTTTCCACGGGGAAAACGAGACTACCTTTTCAGGAATTCCGTTTATTCCAGAAAATTTCCAGTGGAACGAACCAAAAGGTCATGTTCCATTTACATCCCAACCGGAATCTCCGGAATTTTTTGGTAAATGGAAAACGCTCTCAGTCACACGATTCAAAGCTGCCATTTTACATCTTGACTTTGTTTTTGAGAAATCAGTGCATTGCAATCACTTTGACTGATCGACCTCGAATTGAGGTCAAATTCTAGCTTCCGTTATCGACTTTTGAAAATCGCGCTTATCGAAAATAACACGAATACTTATTCTTATATGTTAAAAAAAAATTAGACCAAAATATAACATAAGATATATAGCACAAAAAGTATTAAACGCATCGGGTTCAAATTCCTTGCGCCCTTAATCGTGTTATGCCTTTTCAATATTCAGAACTGATGTTTTTGTAGCTTGGTCAGAAAATGAAAATGTGTTTATGCAAATGAGGCAAAATTGCATACAAATATTCACCAGTTGCTTTTCAAACCAGAGAGCAGAAATAGTGCATTGCCGATCAATACAGTCAAATACCAAAAGTTTTCAAGTCAAATCACTGTCTTTGGAACCTGTTGTAAGCGACCACCTCTGACGACCGCGACCACTTTTGGCGCCAAAAGTTTGAATTTATTTTTATGTTTTTAACCTCCTGTAAGCGACCACTTGACAGATATTAGAGTGAAAATGGGATAATAAGGCGTTGCAGTTCCTCAGAGGCGAACCATGACACTCAGAATAACTACCTGACGAAATCTTAAATATTTTTGTGGCTACTAAAAGTTATGTGGGTTTAAACAGGCACTGACGCATGCGGTAAGTCTATGCAGTTACCATATACTCAGCATATGATAACTGTAGAGACTTTTGACTTAATAAGGTCTAAGCTCTCTTAAGCGACCACCTCCCATGAGCGACCACCTAGGCTTGACATTTTGGGTGGTCGTTTATGGAAAGCTCGACTGTATTTATATTTCCGATTTCAGACCTTCTGCTGCTGTGAAGTTGAACAGAGATGGTCGTCAAGCAACTGCTTAACATCCCCATTCTACTCGTCCTTCATCCAATGTTCTGTGGAGCAACTGCTCCACAATGTAGCCAAGCCGAATCTTCCATATATGGCATGATGCTAAAGGGACACGTTATCAAAACGATCAAAGGGATATCATTGGGCGGTTTGTGCTTACAGGAATGTTATCGTGACGTCAGGTGTCAAAGTTACAATTACCTTATTTCCCGAGCAACGTGTGAATTAAACGACCGCACCAAGGAGGCCAAACCTGAAGATTTTGTTCCTGATTCTGGAAGATATTATTTTAGACGAGACATGAATAGAGGCAAGTTTGTATAACAAAACAGTGACTAAAATAACCAAAAAGCGGGGTTCCGCACCGCTAAATATGGGTCCTCGTGATATAAGTTTCACTGTTAATCTCTTTACGTTCCAGTACCCCTCGGTTCCATTCCTGAACTGCCCGCTGAAACATGCAAAGAAATCAAGGCCAGTGAAGGAGGAGAAGCGGTCAGCGGCAAATATTGGTTCGATTCTATAATACCCGGGGAGACTGTGCTCGCTCACTGTGACATGGAGAAAGAAGGTAATGAGAGGGGGAAGTTGGGAGGCTCGAAACCTGAAAAAATTCTTTGACATCGCTCTATTTCCAGTGCTGGAAAAGGAGAAGAGGTACAAAAAAAGTAGGCAGGATGCTCATGTCTTGTGCGGGCGAAAGAAAATCGATTCACGAAAAACATTAGCTCTTTTCTTCGTAGAACGACAAGACCTACAGTGATTCACGGTGTTGCAGAAAGTCCCTACTGGTTTTGACAGCTAAACTGAATCTCTTGATTGCGTTACATTACTATACAAGACAAAGCATTAGATCTTGGTGAAAGAGTTCTCTCAAAATCTCAATTCCTACTGGCATTGTTGGCAAGCACGGCCAAGGTTACTAAATTCATTACGTGAGGTAGGCATACCGGCAGTTCAGTAAACTATAATCCGTTATTCTTGGCTAGAATTTATCACGAAACACGAAATAGTAGTTCCACTAAACAGAAGCTCTATAGTGACCCTCGGAAGTCTTTCGGTGACCCTAAAGCAGTTAGATCCCTCGACTAGCCTATAACAGTATTACTGTAACTATGATGACCTTTTTACCAATTTCGCATGACTTAGCAATATTTGCATTTCATTGGTAGATGTGGATGAATGTAGCGCTTCAATCCTCGTGTGTGACGTGAATGCCCACTGTCAGAATACCCAGGGCTCTCATCGTTGTTCTTGTAAAGCTGGATTTACCGGAGATGGAAAAACTTGCACTTGTAAGAATATAGTAAATGGTAACCCTGTTTGATTTGACTGGAGTAAGGGTGATAGAGGAGCTAGGGAGTGCAAAAAACGGGAACGTGGCGTCCAAACTTGATTAAAGTCGTCTTTACAATGGAATGGAGATTTAAGTTTTTATTTTTAAGGGTTTGAGCTCAGAGAAGTAAAACCTACCAGCAGCCATTTTTCCCACCCTCGGGAACATTTTGCCTTCAGAGCTGTTATAATAATGATAAACAATAACTTCATGTTTTAAAATTTTTTTTAAACTTCATATATATATACAGCGCTGTTCCTGCGTTTATATCGCTTTCAAAGAAATGAATGAAACTATACGATCAGAAATAAACTCTATATACAAAAAGAGTAAGTACAGTTCGAATAAAATTAACAATGTCTACAAAACAATGAGTAACTGTCCACAAATAGTTTAAAAAGTATGTTTTAAGGCCCCTTTTGAAGCTCTCGATAGAGATCGACTTGCGTAAGACAAGTGGTACATAGATTGTTCCATGATCCGGCTCTGGGCACAAACACTAAATGCCATGTCACCATAACTTTTTGTGAAAACAGTTCATTGGTGGCGGATCTCAGAGATCCAGAGTGACAGTGATGATAAGGCCTATCAACCAAATTGTTTTATTGATATTCGTGTTTCCAAATTTCCACTTTTGGTATCATAATTAATCGTTTCTCATAACTATTGTTGTGTTTGCATTCTTTTGTTGTATTAGAATACCTTTCTTTTATTATCAGTCGTAATATAAGCTTCCTCTGTAATGCAGTTTAGCTTCATCTTAGAGCTCTTATACAAAATAATATGGGACTTTAAAACATATCAAATTTTGAAATCTAACCCAGTTTTTTATTTGTTCAATTGGCAGCATGTATTGGTTGGGCATTTCTTCCTGATTGTTATTTTTAACACCGTGTTGCATTGTTTCAACAGCGCAGTTGTATGTGACGACGTCAAGTTCATGTGCTAATCTTTTAACCATCCGGTCCAGTACGAGTGGTATGATATATTCAAACAAACAAGGATTCTACAATAATTCCATGAGATGCCATTGGTCTCTATCTTCGAACAGCAACTTGGAACTCATTTTCTTCAGATTTAATACCGAATCAGGTTGCGATTTCGTTAATGTGTATGATGGCGGGTCTTCCTCCGATCCTCTTATTGGACGGTATAATGGAACGTCCATGCCTGGAGCCATTACAAGTTCGTCCAACCAGCTTTATATCACCTTCACAAGCGATGGTTCAGTTACGCCCTCTGGGTTTGCAGCAAGTTATCACGGTAAATAGAAAAAAAAATAATGTTACCGTCACAATGAAGTTTGTTGTTATCGTCACTGGATAGCGTTTGACTAAGAGGGTATGAAGGGTAAGAGAGTAAATCTCTCAGATAGGCCTTATTCACAAGGTAATCCCTCCCAAGTTAATTTTTAGCGGAGATTGTGCGCACCGAAGGCGAGAAAGCGGAGCCCCATATTTAAGGGAATCTGGTAACCCACCGAGCTAACATATTTTAGTTGTCCCTTGATTGTCCGCACATTCATCCGTAAGTACCTACGTAAGCCACTTGCATTTCCTTCTCGTGCGCAAATTTAGGTGATTTGAAAGTCGTGTTATCGTCCATAAACCAGAAAATTAACTCTCTTGGCATTTCTATGGAAAGTAGAAAGTCCAAATAATGTTTAAGAGGCACCAACGGGGAAAATCATGGCGTGGAGAGTCATAAATACCTCGCTGAAGAAGAATACCTGGATAATTTTTCTTTCCTTCGATGGCCGCAAACACATGACTATCAATGCGCTTTCAGCTGTGTTTTGAATACAGATATAGATCATAGATTTAATGCAGCTTTAGGACGTCAAACAACAACAACAACAACAACAACAACAACAACAACAACGATAGTAATGTAAAGAATTGCTTCGAAGTAACAGTCGATAAAAATGACTGCCAAGTCATTGCATAAAACTAACATTCAAATTACGTTTTAGCGTGAATAATCAACTTGAACACGCTGAGCTGAATGCAAAACCGCAAGTCATCAATTTTGAACGTTTTCTGCTTCTAAATGCATTTCTTGACTTTAACTTGAATAATAATATTTCTTAAAAGGAGTTTTTGAGCATTTCTTTCATTTTGCCATCTATTGTTAGCATTTTATGCTTTAAAAGCAAACAAGATTGCCTATTTGACACTCTCGCTTGGTAATTTCCATTTTGTTTTATTATGGTAATTTCCACGTTTCTTTGTTTAATTCATTCAGTTTGGTGAAACGCTTATTGTTTCCAGTAAATGATTAGTATTATATGGCAGCTCAGCTCTTAGGCTCGGCTAAATCTATTCATAACATAGTCTTAGAGAAGCGCGCGTTCTGATTGGTTAATACACTCGATCCATTTTCTCGTGGGTTGCACGCTGACGTCAGCTTGTTTATTTGTACTTTTTCTCGGCAATTTTTTTAATCGATGTTACTACTTTTTACCTCATGATTGCTATTTTTTCTCGTAAAATATAGAAAAATCTAACAATTATTCTGAAGATGGTTTTATAATTCCTGTGAGCTACTAAATTTCGATCTCAAGTGTAATCTGACTTGGGAGGTTTGCTAAGCACTCAAGAAGCTAGAGTCACACCCGGTTATAGCCTCGTGCGACTCTTACCCAGCGCTTCTTTCGTGCTAAGTAACCTCCCGCGTGCATCCATAACTCGAAAGTTGCACGCTGCACCTTTACCATTTCTTAAATATTAGATATGGCTTCCATTTCTCCCGTGGAAAATGTTACAACGTGCGTTGTTTGGATGTTTGGAGGTTAAAAATGATTTTAAGCCACCTGGTCAGTCCACCAGAGTATAATTTCGATTTGGTGTATATTTCTAGACCTTCTTCGGGTTTTTGAAAGTGAGGTTCGTCTAAAACTAATTTGAATGGGATTGCCTTTGGAATAAGGCTTATATAATTGCATACTTCTTATTTACCGAGTCAGCGACCGCGTTTTTTTTACCCTTTAATTCGATCCAAAACCCGTGATTCACGCTTGAGCCATAAATGGAAGGGGAAAAAGGGAGATCCATGACCTACAGTGCGGAGCGAGAAGAAAAGCTTGGCACGATATTTATTATATCTCTACTGTATGTCCTGCGGGTTCGGGGAATCATTTAAGTCAAGCAGAACGGATTGAAAAGATTGACGTGCGTCAAAAACAAAACCGGAGTCAATTCTAAATCGCTGCTACATGTGGGGCATGAAAATTTTGAGAAAACGAAAACTTTGCTTTTATTTACCACGAACGTCCAAAAAGAGCGAAAAAAAGTAATGCGGATGGTTGTCTCACTTAACCTAAAAATCTCAAGGAACTGGGTACAAATGTGAATAGTATCTAAAGCGTAAAGTTTTTAAAGTGAAAAGGAGTCGTGGGTTTCGTAAAAGAGATGACAATATATTTACTTCCTTACCCTTCATCTTCTCCCGTGTTTGTTGTTTGACTTCATTACTTAACAACGACGAATGGAGGAAGCTAATGTAAATTTACAAGCCGTAAATTAAAGTCGTAGCAATCAAGGAAAATAGGGAGCATTTGGAGAGAGCGCGTACGAAGGGGAAGGGGTCGCTTATTTTGTTTAGGGCATGAACATCTGAATTTGATGAAGGGCTTTGACTGTTTTATTATTATTATCATCATCATCATCATCATCATCATCATCATCATCATTACTATTTTTTTTAGTCGTTAACTCAATTCGCCTGATTGGTGGTAGTACGCCATTAACTGGGAGGGTGGAAGTTTTTGCTGGCGGTGAATGGGGTACAATCTGTGATGATGGTTGGGATATAAATGACGCTAACGTGGTGTGCAGACAACTTGGTTTCCCACAAGCTTCTCAAGCTTACCGAGGCGCTAATCATGGTCAAGGAGCAGGCCGGATATGGCTTGATGATCTGACATGTTCAGGTGGTGAGTCGTATATCTCCGACTGTGGAAATCGCGGCGGATGGGGAAGTCACGACTGCTCTCACAGCCAAGACGCCAGCGTGCAGTGCTCTTCTTCCATACCTTGATCAAATACAATACCTTGATAGTAAGAGTGGAAAAAAGGAAAAGCCTTTGAGCATTAGATGATGATCGGTTTATTGCCGCTTGTTGGAAGACTATGATCAATGGTCACTAATACTATTAAAATCAATATCAATTTATTCTTTATTGCTTCTAATATGCTTGCAGAACAATCTAGATATCAGTATTTGGCAATTAGCCATCTGCCCGTTAAATCGTTGATAGAGATCACTACCGCGTTAAACGTTAATGTTTTTGTCATTTATAGCTATAACATATAAGATTTTTTTATTCATTTCATATTGCTTGCATCGAAGAGTTGTGAGTTTTCTAGATCTTACCCTAAGCTAACACCTGACATTAAGAATGGCTTAGTTATAGCTGTGGTCGATTCAAACTCTTGATTTACAGGAGAAACTATGGCACAGAGCTTTTTCTCGAGAGAAAATTGACATGATCGAACGTTTTAGTTTCTTTAGGAACCCGCAAATAAAATCAATTAACTCGGTAACGCTGACTTTTTTTCAGTGTTTAGAAATATCAGTTTTTGTGTGCAGTCTTAAGCATTTCAATACATAAAAACAAAACCAAAAAAACAAGGAAAAAACTACGGATTTGCTGGGACCAATTTTAGGATATGTTTGGCATCTATTTGATATTTGTTTAATTGGCATTGTTTTCATTTGATATTTACTCTAGCGACATTTATTCATATTTGATTAACTCGGTATTTCATTTGTTCAGGAATTTCCCCTGCCATCGACAGAACTGATTATGACGGGACATTCCCTGATATTCTTTGAATACTTCGGTTTGCTTGCAGGAGAGGATTTTCCTATTTCTATTATTGTGGGTTCGTTTTTGGGGAACAAAATATACCAATGGTATTTACTAAACCTTAACAGTGTGTAAAAAGGGTTAATAAACCACCAAGAAAAGAAATATGTTCTTTTAAAAAAAGTTCGGAGCTCCGTTCTATGTTAATTTTAGCCAACAATCATAGGTTAAACGTAAAGAAAACATCGAAAAGATGCTAATAGCTTATGGAGGAAACTCGTTTGTGGTTTATTTACTTTTAGATAATTGATAATATTTACTCAATATACTCTTATCTAGGCTGTGAGATTCTTGTGTGTTTATCGTAGCTAACTGTGTCTCAACAGCTTTCCTTTATGTTTTGGCTTACAAAAGCTTTTACGGCATCAGAACCATGTTAGAACTGTTCATATCAATGTCCTGGAATTTGGATTATTTTAAGTTTAGTTAACGATTTCGTAATGTCTTCGGACAACCTACGCTTAACTTCAATCTTACGGCTAAACTCTGAGAAACGATTTAGCTGGACATATTCTACAAACACGTATTTCTTCCATCATTATTGAGGTTTACTTTAATCTGTGAATCAGGACAAACAACCAAACCTCGACGAACTCTATTTCCGTTGCCAGTTACGTTACTTTCATTTAGGAAACAAACATCAGCTAACATTACATCCGAAAACGTGATTTCAGCTGGCATGCCTCCTGAGAAGCAATATCCTTAAAAATAAAAATCTACTTTAGGTTGAATCCAGGTCACACATTTATGCATAATGAGGAGTTTTCTTAAACTCATTAAAATCTTGCTGACCTCTACATTTCTAACACTTTCGAGGTCCGTTTTTCTCAATTCGTGACTTTAAACTCAATTTTCTATGCTCTATCAGTGTAATACTTAATATAATTCACTTTTCATCAGGACCTACACCAAAATCTTAGTTAGTTTTCTGTATGTTTACTTTCATTTTTATGCATTCCTTTGCATAGAAATCTCTTGGAATACAGATTTTTACAAAAGTAAACATACCAAGATATGATGATGAAATCTCTTATTTTGGGCAACTCGAACAGCTGAAGTCACCTTTTAGGCATGACAAAGATATTTGATTTAGTTAGTTTTAGTAAATTAGGTTTCTCTGACATAAATTTGAGTGCAGCTTATACCGACTGGACTGGTGATTCACGTGTAACTTATGCCAACTTCACTGGTAAAAGGACTTGCAAAACCTTGAAGACGTTTGAAAGACTTAGCGACCTCTGTAAGCCTGACGAAGATACCCAATAAAGCCTACGCTGTTGTGAAACAAAATCTGCTCCGTGACAGAGTGTACTGGTACAAGAGGTCTTATCGACTAATGTGAGATAACGATTAGACAGCAATTAAGATAATAATCTCCACCCATAACGCAATAAAAATTGTTTTGAAAAAAGAAATGATGTCTTGTTTACTTCCAGATAGCATATGTGAAAGGCGATCTCTTAAATCTCTAAGTATCGTAAGTGAAGATCACTGATTACCATCAGTTTGGTGTACAAAATTGCCTTCAATAGAAAACTAATAATAATCGTTGACTAGATAAAGACTAGAACACATCAAAGAGAATATCCACTACGCTGCATATCACTTCACAGTTTGAATTGTCCAATCAAATATCTCTTTATAAACGGCGTAGAGCAATTGGGTTGCACGTTAAATTTTAGCTGACGCCAACTTTGACGTGAATGCTCGCTTTCCAGTTTAATTTTTTTGAACAAAATGGGGGCATCGGTGAGATTTTATCCAGTTCCACAAGATGCCATCACCCCTTTTTATTAACGAAACCAAAACTGAAAAATACCGAGCTAAACAAATCAAGACTTTTATTTCCTTACTGACTTTCTCTCCGAGAGCGATTTTTCCACGATTACTCCATATTTTGTTCAGCTTTTTGGATCCGGAAACCGAGGGACAAATTCAATTAGCGAAAAACAAAATTTGCTTTGACTGTAGCTTTCTAGCCTGCGAGCAGGCTCACCTCTGAGTCACGCGCGAGAGCGGCGACGAGCAATGCGATCCGGCGGGAAGGAGTCTGGTGAAGAGGCGCCAAGAAAGTGAGCCTGCCTTGATCTCTGTAATTTTTTCATTTCTGCTTCGTCTGATCGAAGTGAAATACCATTGGTCGAAAAGTGGGAAAGGCGAGAAAACTGTCAATCTATTATGTTTTATGAGGAGCAATTAGATCCCCATGGAGTCGGTAATTTACCTCCGTTCTCACAATAACAAATAATTTGTCCACATTTAGTCAGAGGAAGGCTAGAGTTGAGTGCGCGTATTACTGACGTTGTAACAAAGTTCCAGTCTATTTCTGGTTAAATTTCAAATTAAAGAGGGAATAGGATTTAGCAGCTCAAAGAATGTTATTGAATCAAGACGTACTTGTCTTGTTGCCGACTGCATATGGGAAAAATTTAATATTACCGTGACGTTCAGATTGCAAGCTGGCAACGAAACAACACGAAGGCGTTTGCTCGTTTACCAGCATCATCGAAGACCACACTGCCAAAGCAAGACCACTTGGAATCAAGTGTGTGTCCTTGGTAGACATTCGGCAAAACTTCATCAACAACGGATATCGCGCCTGCTGTTGTTATGAAAAATTTTTACAATTTTCCCGAGAAATCTGAGCTGCCAAAGTTCATACTTCCGGTGAAAAGTAGTTGGCTTAATATTTCTGCGGTTTCCGGGGTGGAAATGAAGAATTTGCAGAGATCAGAGCAGGCTCACATTCTCGTCTCGCGGCTTCGCCGCTCCAACGTGAACCTGTTCGCAGGCTAGTAGCTTTCAAAAGGGTGATTCGGACGCTTGCCATAGTTTGATGGCCTGCTCTATAAGCTTTAATTTGATGTAGGGGCTTAGGTATTTAGAATTTATACTGGACGCGTTACATCGCTTGGATGCGAGACACCTTCGCTTAGCTATTCTACCCTGAAACTCATGAGGTCGACTTGTGGCAAGTCTATAGGGGTACCCTTGCTTTTGATTTTCCGGAAACCACTCCATTCCGGTTATTGTTTGATATCCTCTGAGCTTCTGCATATCTCTTTACTTAACCTGCTCAACAGCTCTGCAGTAGATACCATGTCCGACTTTCTGGCACTATAATATTATCTATTCCTTGGGTACTTTTCAGCTTCTTTGATAGAGGGGGGACCAAGGGGAGGGGGCAGGGGGATAAAGCTTGTTGTTGTAGTTGTTGTAGAGTTTGCAGGATTTTTCTTGTACCAGTATCAATTGCCACTATATTACTTCTGATGCTCGAGGCTCATCCTTCTCAGGTGGGACATTTTAGAACTGTTACAGTTCTGAAGTGCTTCGACCACCTATTTATTTTATCATCTTCGTTTGTATCCCTGACTGGTATGAACTGAACACTATTCTTCTTGCACAATTCATTCGCGTGATTCTCTGTACTGCATCCAGTCTGTTCGTGCTGTTATATTAGGGACCTTTAGCACCGAGAGCTTTCATAGCGACAGCGACGTTGGTGGACGAAAGAGACTGGGGCGAGGACGGCGTTGTTCGCGCCAAAATATAGACCTCTAGCACCCTTCATTTTCCGACGGCAATATGCCGATTTCTTTAAAAATGAACAAATTTTAAGACTTGTCGAGAGATACTTTTGCTTAGCTATGCAGACAACAACATTTCGGACGAAGAATTTGTTCCTTTATACGACTGTTATCGTTCAAAAAATCCGGCTAGATTTCGGCTATCCGATCGTACGATGTTTTCGATCTAGAAAACATGAATTCAGCTGACTGCAAAGCCGAATTTTGAGTTGAAAAGGCAGGGGTGTCTGAAAAACCCGAATAGCGAATAGCGAATAGTCGCGAATAGCGAATAGTCCCGAATAGTGCAAATAGTTTCGAGTAGTGCGAATAGTAGCGAACAGTCGCGAAAAGTGGCGAATAGTGACGAATAGTCGTCAATAGTCACCGCTTTAGATCTAATATCCAGCAAATAAGCAACAGAATTTCAGTGAATTTATTACCTTTTCTTCTCCGGACTCAGGTTAGTAGGCTGTCCATCGCCGACATTAAGAAAACAGAAAACACAA